AAGCGCGGGCTAAAGGGCCGCGCCAGTCGAATAATTGCAAGAACCGTACCGTTACCTCCAGAGAGGCGTCATTAATCGAGATTTCGTGCTTAATATTAATTCCGTTTGTTGTTTCTTTTCGTATTATGATTTGAGTTGGGAGCGTCACCGGAAGAAAGAGCGGGAAGTCAGTAAAACATCACGGAAAATATCATCGTCAATCAAGGATGACCGCCGAGGGGCAAGCAGCCAGCAATCCGAGAATTCAAAGCATCTAACGTCTAGCTATGTCACGACGGGATCAGGACCCGCACACGTGATGCGCAACACACGGGACAGCGAGAGGATCCTCGCGCAAGGACACAGGCCCGTGCGGATCCGGTCCCCGCGGAGGGGCTGCAATCCTGCACGCGGTGGCGTGACACGGCCCCGGAAAAGGCGAAAAGAGGGGTGGCGGCGATACTTCCGGCCAAGCCGTTTGTCCTAGACTTCGCGACGGCCCCGCGGAAAGGGCCCCAGCGAATTATTGTTTGTAATACCGGGGGCGCGCGCACCCCCGATCTGACCGTGAGCGCGCCGCCCGCCGGTCACAGCGCGTAATAACGCGTGATTGGTCGCGATAATACGCACCCCGTGTGCGCAGCCCCGGCTGGCCCACAGGTATCGATTCTGGATCGCGGCGATCCGGGAGCAGACTGGCGTGAGCTCGCGTGTAAAACAGCGGTGTTTGTTCTGGAGCCGAAATAATCTAGACGAGAGCGACTTTGCGAGAGCGTTGCGGCAAGAGAGGTCGAGGAGGACTCCCGCGATCGAAGGACGGACCCGAGGGAGAGGACGTCGACATCGCCGACCCCGTACAACCACCCCGAGAGGAAGAGTACCGGTGAGGTTGTCCTCCGCCATATTCGCCATTCGCGATCGCGCCCGGAATCGTTTCGTTCTGTCGTCGTCGCCGTGAATTAGGGGTGAGGACACTCCAGAGTATTTGAAAAAGGGATGGGCGGAAAGTAGATGGAGAAGAGTATTAAGATTCAGAATAGGAAAACGAAATAAGAGAAGGGTTATACTGGGAGAGAGAGGAGAAGAGGACATGTAGATTGTGTGGAGGAGTGGAAGAGACTTGGGAACATGTATGGGAAGGGTGCACGGGAGAGGGGAGAGGGAGGGAGTAGAGCTGGCAGGATGCGGTGGAAAGGATGCTGGGAGGTGAGGGAGGAGGAGAGGAATGGATAAAAGAGATAGAAAGAGCGAGAGGGGTAGAGAGCAGGGAAGGGGAAAAGGGTGGAGAAGAGTGGAGTGGGGAAAGGAGGGAGTAAAAGGGGTGAACGTATGAAGGTGGGGGGAGAGAATGAAGAGAGAGGGAAGGGAAGGAGAACAGGGGTAAGGAGAAGGGTGAGAGAGAGAAAGAGAGGAGGAGGAGAGAGAAAGAGAGAGAGTGAGAGGGAGAGAGAGAGAGAAAGAGAGAGAGGGTGGAGGATGAAAGAAGAATGAAAGAGGAAAGAGGGGCGGAAGAACTATAAGGAAGAACAGCGGAAGCGGGGGTCCAGTAGAGATAAGGTTTAGCGTAAGATAGACGTAAGTAGTATGTAAGTTAGAGATAAAGCAGTAGGAGAATAAAGCGGAGAGAGAAAGAGAGAATGACGGAAAGGGCGATGATAGGGCGAAGCATGTACATAATGTATTAGATTAAGGAATAGGTTAAGGGATTGTAAAGATTGTAACCCCATTAGGGATCAATAAACTTTGTGACGTTGCCGTCTCGCGCGCGTCCGCCGGGTCCCTCTCCGATCGAAAAGCGCGGGCTGAAGGGCCGCGCCAGTCGAATCATTGCGAGAACCGTACCGTTACCTCCAGAGAGGCGTCATTAATTGAGATTTCGAGCGTAATATTAATTTCGTTTATGATTTTCTTTCGTATGAATAATTCATTTGGGAGCCTCATCGGAAGAAGGAGCGGAAAGTCGCTGAAGCGTCACGGAAAATACGATCGCCAATCAAGGAAGACCTTGGAGGGGCAAGGAGCCAGCAATTTGGAAATCCAAAACATCTAACGGCCAAACTAGCTACGTCACGACGGGATCAGGACCCGCACACGTGATGCGCAACGCACGGGACAGCGAGGGGATCCTCGCGCAAGGACACAGGCCCGTGCGGATCCGGTCCCCGAGGAGGGACTGCAATTCTGCACCCGATGGCGTGACGCGGTCCCGGAAAAGACGGAAGGAAGGGTGGCAGCGATACTTCCGGCCAAACCGTTCACCTCAGACCCCGCGACGGCCCCGCGAAAAGAGCCCCAGCGAATTATTGTTTGTAATATCGGGGGCGCGCGCACCCCCGTTACGACCGTGAGCGCGCCGCCCGCCGGCCACAGCGCGTGATAACGCGTGATTGGTCGCGATAATACGCACCCTGTGTGCGCAGCCCCGGCTGGCCCACAGGTATCGATTCTGGATCGCGACGATCCAGGAGGAGACTGGCGCGAGCTTGCGTGCGAGATAGAAGCGTAAGCTAGAGGACCGTTTTGGCGAGAGAAAATACGAGAGCGATAGCGAGACGAGAGCGAGCGGAGAGGATCCCGGCGATCGGAGCTGCGAAGGACGGACCCGAGGGAGAGGACGTCAACGTCGCTGACCCCGTGTAACCACCACGAGAGGAAAAGTACCGGTGAGGTTATCCTCCGCCATATTCGCCACTCGCGATCGCGCCCGGAATCGTTTCGTTCTGTCGTCGTCGCCGTGAATTCGTACTTTGGTGTACGGGCTAAGCCCGATTCTTTGGTGTAGATTTTCGCGTCACGGCCACGTCGTCAAGCGATTCGAGCCCCGGAGCCTCGAAAGTATCGGTTTCCGCGGATCGAGACATTACCTCGCGTTTCTAATAAACCGTGTGTTGTCTCTCTGGAGATTCGGATTCCGTAGATTATATTTGCGCTGGTTCTCGCACGTCTAGCGTTTAAGATTCGTTCGTACTGTATGTCGGTCGTTTGAGTGTGATTCGCGTCAATTTGTTATATTATTTATGTCTTTCGTTTGTGAATCTTCGCGTCTAAACTGTGCGTGCACGTCCGGTGCTACTTTCCTTCGCGATTATTATATGGGTTACGTGAGAGTGTGAATCGCGTAAATTCGACGTATTATATCGGCTGTAAAGCACCGCGTCTCGAAAGTGAGTGCGTTTTGTGAGAGTTTCCTCGCGATTCTTGCATGAATTGCTTGCGTGTGTGCCGAGTATTCGATTCTGCGTAACATGTCTGCCCGAAATTGAAGCATGTCCGCGTTGTGTTAATTGTCTGTTAATCTTAAATTGCGTATTAATAATTTAGCGGTAATAGCGGGCGTTAAGGTCGCCGTTGGCGAGGTGATATCGAGAATTGATTCGGGCTTGCGCCCAAATTACAGAAGAACGCAATAATCAATTTCTTCGCAGTGCAAAGCGTAATTCAAGCCTAGCGAACATTCCGGCCGAAATAACGGGTCGACCTCGGCGTACGCACTCTGAGGTTTGGCGCCCCGCGTCTAACACCCCGTCTCGCAGCCGCGTTTCTTTTACTGCAGCCGTATATCCGCGCGGTTTATCCTTACTATTCTCGAGGAGTTGCGGCTCCCGCTATTCTAATAAATCTGTTAATTTCTCTGTTTAATTTACGAGTTTCCTTCCAGTTGTGTTTGTCGTTTACGTACTTGTCGTCTCTTGCACAATTTCTCGCGTTAGATCAACTCGCCCTGCCCCTCTACCGTTAGGCGAGCTAGTCAGCCCGTGGCGAATTCCGGCAAATTCTTTCGCGTTTATTTCACGCTTATTTCATGTGTTTCGCGGATTGATACGTGAAAGATCGTATCTGGCGCCTTAGTTCGATTCTCGCGATTATCTCTCGGATCTCGTCACGGTACGCGCGGAACTCCTAACATCCCGTTCCCACCTGGCGCGTGGATCTTTTTCTTCGTTTTTCCGTTTTTGTCAACGACCATTCCGCCTCTCCCGTTCGGCGAATTAGCTCCTGTTCGTCGGCACAATTTACACCCACGCGACGGAGAGAACGAGTCGGCGGTTGCGTTTATTGCTCAGCCGCGAGACGGTAGGAAAAGTCGTCGCAGCGTGTATATATACGTGTACCATAATACCACTATATTCTATGCATGTGTTGTGTACATATATAGCGATAAAGGAGCGATGATGATGGTGACGTTTCTTACAAGAAAATTTCCACATTTCGACTTTGCTTCGTAATAGCTCTGCTTTATAAAACATGCAGAGCGAAAATAAAGACACTTTCCTTATATAAATCGAACCCAAGCTATCGATTAAGAGGATGCCGGATTACCGACAGAACGCGAATATTAGTAGGATTGCAAAATCTTTTTGTTGATTAAAGATATCAACAAATCCTTTTCCACAATTAAGGTACACATAATAACGGAGTGCGGAGTTTAACATTTCATATGAAAAGTTAAAAAAAATGAGAAAATTACAGTTTTGTTATCGGCTTCTGCCGTCACATTTACTTAATATAACAAATTTGTAATCTGTACGTGCCTAATCAGTAAACCCCGCACTCGGCATTTCATCAAAGAGTATAAGTGAACTTAGAGAAGTGAGTTTAGAAGCTTTAGAAAAAAGATTTTACGATGCTACGCTTTCGTGCATATGTGTGTGTGCGAGATCGAGGCTCAAGAGTAAAACAGAGCAGTAGATTAGTTGCGTGATGTCGCGATAGACGGAGCTGCAATCTTACATGACAAGGACAGACATAATCGTACTACCATAGACATAGTATATCTAGACCGAGTGTTGAGAAGTGGGAGCCGAGGTGCACGTAGAAAAGGATATACTCTGTTTCGTGCCCCTTGCGTTCTTTCTCGCTCGCACGTAGCATAGCGTACTCTTTCGCTATGCTACATGCGAGTGAGAGAGAACGCAAGGGGCACAGAACAGAGTTATGTCCTTTTCTACGTGCACCTTGGCCCCCACTCCTCAACACTCGGTCTAGATATACTATGTCTATGGTAGTACGATTATGTCTGTCCTTGTCATGTAAGATTGCAGCTCCGTCTATCGCGACATCACGCAACTAATCTACTGCTCTGTTTTACTCTTGAGCCTCGATCTCGCACACACACATATGCACGAAAGTGTAGCATCGTAAAATCTTTTTTCTAAAGCTTCTAAACTCACTTCTCTAAGTTCACTTATACTCTTTGATGAAATGCCGAGTGCGGGGTTTACTGATTAGGCACGTACAGATTACAAATTTGTTATATTAAGTAAATGTGACGGCAGAAGCCGATAACAAAACTGTAATTTTCTCATTTTTTTTAACTTTTCATATGAAATGTTAAACTCCGCACTCCGTTATTATGTGTACCTTAATTGTGGAAAAGGATTTGTTGATATCTTTAATCAACAAAAAGATTTTGCAATCCTACTAATATTCGCATTCTGTCGGTAATCCGGCATCCTCTTAAAAGAGCAGGCATATATGCGGGTGGCGCAGGCATATATGCGGGTGGCGCAGGCACATATCCGGATGGCACAGGCACATATCCGGATGGCACAGGTGGCGCAGGCACGTATCCGGATTGTGCAGGCTGCACAGGCACGTATCCGGATTGTGCAGGCTGCACAGGCACGTATCCGGATTGTGCAGGCTGCACAGGCACGTATCCGGATTGTGCAGGCTGCACAGGCACGTATCCGGATTGTGCAGGCTGCACAGGCACGTATCCGGATTGTGCAGGCTGCACAGGCACGTATCCGGATTGTGCAGGCTGCACAGGCACGTATTCGGATGGCGCAGGCACATATCCGGATGATGCAGGCGTCGGAGCCATGTATATAGATAGTGCAGGCTGTGCAGGCACGTATCCGGATTGTGCAGGCGGCACAAGTACGTACTCCGATGACAGCGATGCGGGCATGTACCCTGTTGGCGGTATATTGGACGGCATGCCAGCCTTCTTCTGCCTGCGCCTCTCCCGGAAGACCGCCCGCCGCACCGCATTACTAATGCGCTGGAAAAAAAATTAAAATATTAATGTTTTTACACACACACACACACACACACACACACACACACACACACACACACACACACACACACACACACACACACACACACACACACACACACACACACACACACACACACACACACACACACACACACACACACACACACACACACACACACACACACACACACACACACACACACACACACACACACACACACACACACACACACACACACACACACACACACACACACACACACACACACACACACACACACACACACACACACACACACACACACACACACACACACACACACACACACACACACACACACACACACACACACACACACACACACACACACACACACACACACACACACACACACACACACACACACACACACACACACACACACACACACACACACACACACACACACACACACACACACACACACACACACACACACACACACACACACACACACACACACACACACACACACACACACACACACACACACACACACACACACACACACACACACACACACACACACACACACACACACACACACACACACACACACACACACACACACACACACACACACACACACACACACACACACACACACACACACACACACACACACACACACACACACACACACACACACACACACACACACACACACACACACACACACACACACACACACACACACACACACACACACACACACACACACACACACACACACACACACACACACACACACACACACACACACACACACACACACACACACACACACACACACACACACACACACACACACACACACACACACACACACACACACACACACACACACACACACACACACACACACACACACACACACACACACACACACACACACACACACACACACACACACACACACACACACACACACACACACACACACACACACACACACACACACACACACACACACACACACACACACACACACACACACACACACACACACACACACACACACACACACACACACACACATATATATATATATATATATATATATATATATATATATATACTGTATACTATTTACATATATATATTGACATATATACAGGGTGTCTCACCAAAAGTGGCCGCTCCTTTTTATGTTTTAAACTAAAAGAGGAAGACCATAACAAATATATATAAAATTAAATGGTTCAAACCGAATTCTATTGTGAGCATAGTGGTTATTAACAAAAGCTATAACGAACGGAAAGGTACGCACAATTTTTTTATAATAATGTGAATACTTCAATATTATAAAAGTTGTAGCACTGTTTAAAACGAATACAATGATGTATGATATAATGTTAATATTTTACATATTATTAACCGTTTGTACATTTGGTCCTCTGGACCGATCCGGGCCCGTCGGCATCCGCCTGTTGTCCGCTAGCGGCGACGTTGCCACGGTCACCCGCCTCCTCGGGTCCGCCGCTAGCGGTGACGTCGCCGTGGTCATCCTGGCCCTTGATGCCGCCGGCATAGACATCGGCATCGGTGCCGTTGTCATATATATATATACAGGGTGTCCGACATGTAAGTAGCCAAACGAAAGGTGGAAGTAGATTGGATCAAACTGAGTCGAAAAGTCCTGAACCATTTTTTTTATAACGCTTAATAAAGGAGTTATTATTGAGTAAAGTCTGGCCAATCAGCGCCGATCTTTAGCGGGCGCACGTCAGTGAGCCGCGCGTCGTGAAGTGTGCGCTATCGCATACTACCATTTGGGGACTCCGGTGGCTCAGTGCGTAGCGTGCCTGACTCATCGCTTCACTAAAAGTCTTTGACCTTTATTAAGCATTATAAAAAAAATGGTTCAGGACTTTTCGACTCAGTTGGATCCAATCTACTTCCACCTTTCGTTTGGCTACTTACATGTCGGACACCCTGTATATATATATATATGTCATCTTACTATAGAAAATCAGATGACCGTATTTCGCATTTTATATATCCGAAAATAATTTTAATGCATTAATTACATTATTGTGATTAAAATGACGTCGTAAAATAGTAATAAATAATATTCTCATGTATTCGCCGGGTTACCCGGTTGCTGGGACGGCGCACCCTGATACCTAGCGTTACACCAGGTCACGGGCTACCCGTGGTTAGGCCGGGCTTCCCGGTTGCTGGGACGGCGCACCTTGATACCTCGTGTTACACCGGGCTACGGGCTTCTCGTAGTTAGGCCGGGCTTCCCGGTTGCCGGGACGACGCATCCTGATACCCCGGCGTTACACCAGGCTACGGGCTTCCCGTAGTTATGCCGGGCTTCCGGTTGCTGGGACGGCGCCTCCTGTTAGTTGATAAGTCCGTTCCGCGTTATACCGTAAGACCGTTTTGTATATACCGCGACCGTCTCTACCGCAAGACCACTTTGGTCTCCGTGTATCTTTCCGAATAAATACCGCGACCTGTTAGATGGTAATACCGCGTTGTACATATACCGCGACCTGTTATATTGTAAGACCGTTGTACATATACCGTGACCAGTAAGACCGCTCCGGTCTCCGCGTCCTGATAGATTCTAGTACCGCCTTGTATATACCTGATTATACCGTAAGCCCGCACTGTATATACCGCGCATTATAATTGCAGAGCCGACTCCACCTGTACGCACGGCCTTCAGAATACACAAGCGCGCCAGCCCTTCTAAAGGTAGGCCGCAGAAAGTGCCGACGCCCCGTCCTTCTAAGGATAAGGTAGTCAGGCCGTTGGAATTACGATCGAAGGCCACGCGACACCCGTAGCATTTAAGATCTGTCTGTTCCGCTTAGAATAACCCCAGTTGCTTGCATGCGAACCTCGCGATTGCAGAACACGACCGCTTGAGCCACGCTCGCTTCCCGAGCTC